TAGATAAGAAGGTAATTATCTATCTGTACACAGGTAACATGTTTGAGCATGGCACCTTACATTGCTAAATATCTGAACTTGGCAAAGTAACATACAGATGCCATGTATCATGACATATATTATCTTAACTAAATATCTGAATAATTCGACATGAACAAACTCGAATTCACGACCTAGCCATGGCGAAGAAAAAAGCACAATACAAAGATGTTTTCACTATGCAGGTGGAACGTGGATATGTCAGCTATCATCACAGCCACAGAAGACTGCAAGGCAAAGGCCCTAGATCATAGGCAAAGAAGGTCACAAAGAAAACCTTTAACAGTTTTAGAAGCCTAAGAAATATATGCATATATGTACGAAGGTTGATCAAGGAACCTCATACTGAAAACAAGGACAAACTTTACAGGCATTTCATTAAATTAGTAAAATTCAGATTCGGATGTTCATGTCACATGATTGCATCTAGTTGTAGAAATAAAAGTTTTAGGTTGTATCATAGTAAAAATTTGCTAAGCTGCAAAAAAAAAGTTCCCAACAGATCATGGTATGGAATACTATACAGATAGAGTTTCAGAGTTTTAGTTCATTTCACTGTCAAAAGATATATTTGGATATCTAAAATTAAAGGACATAACTTAACCATATTAAGTCCTACGTTCCTGTACCTGGCACTGAACCATATTAAATCTTGCATTCCTCTACCTGGAACTGAATCTAAGTCTTGCAAACCAACATGTTCTTTTAAAGGTTTGTAAAATTTCTCTTGTCGCAATGAAGAAGATAAGATTTTTTTTTGAATGAAGACATGATTTTTATAGGCCTCAGAAATATACAAATCATCATCTGTTCATCAACTTGGAGCTTCAAGGCATGCTGACAACTGGGTTACCTAGAAATTGCACAATATAAGTAGCAGGTCATGCCTAGTACCTCACAAGCAAATGAACATCAATTCATATCCCTGAGCAATGGGTATGGAATTTTCATCACAGGAGGAAGGAAAAAATTAATGGCAAATGGCAAATCCTTGAGCAACGGGAATGGAGCTGCAGGCATTATAGGCCAAACCCTAGAACAGGAATCCAAATCAACGTAGGAAGAAATCAGAGAGACAAAAGCAAAATCACAAAACAAGAGGAAACAGGAGCACCTGAGACCGCTCCGTGCCAATCGCGGCACCATTGAGGCCCACCTGCACACCATGCGCGGCCAACGCAGGGGCTCAGCCAGTGCGCCACCGCACGGGGAGAGAGGGAGGCGGTGAAGCAAGCGCAGAGAACCCACCTAAGCACCTGTTGCCCAGAGAAGAACGGAGGCGACACGACGAGGGCCCAGCAGGCCCGCCACCCTTGGAGGACCAGCGGGAGACCCCCCGCCGTACAGAACCGAAGCGAAGGCTCCAATGCAGGCCACACCGGTCGGAGGTGAAGCGTGAAGCACAGGGCGCACTGATGCGACGGACCTAGGGTTTTGGGAACCCGAGGAACAAGGAGGAGGGAGGAAAGGGAAGCTCCATAGTCAGCAGCAATGGGGTCAACCACGGCCGAATCCGCCACAGGGGAGTCAGCGTCGGTGGATGCGGAGGGCGAGCAGCATATCGGCCGATGGTGGCACAACGCGGAGGCGGAGGCGGAGAGAGAGGAAGGGAAGGCGGAGCGACAGACGGCAGAGGCGAGTCGGAGAGAAAGGGGAAGAATCTGGAGACGGGAAGCGGAGATGTTTTCGTGGCGGGGGCGATGCACTGTAGCGGGCGGTGGAGCGAATATGGAGCGTCGATTGCACGATCGGACGGCTAGAAACAATTCGGGTGACGTGGATGCTGTGAGAGGCGGCCAAAGTAACTTGCTTTGATATATTAGATGAAATAGAAATTTGTTCGGTCACGAGTTTCTTAAAAGTGACAATAAAAAATTGCCATGAAGTCGGTTGAAAATGACGACTTTTATATTTTGCTAAAATCAAAAGTGGTTGGAAATAGCATAATATATAGGAAAATGGTGTATGTGTCCCAAGTATCCAGAGAAATCAAAGCTGTCTCTAGGAAGAGTCATCCCTTGAATAGGGATGTTGCTAGAGGTAGAGCAGGGCTCAAGCATATGTGGTAGTATATAAGGTTCTTCACACATATCCTTGAACCAGTTTTGCTTTCGAAGATGACCTCTAGTAATTATCACCCTATTCGCTTGATCGTTTCTGTGGCTTATAAGCCGGCTAATACTGTTTTGTTGTGAGAGAAAAACACTATATCATGGCTGATAAGCATGACTGATACGATCAAGCGAACATGGTGTATGATGATCTGGATCCGACTTCTTCACGTGAGCCCTGCATTTGCGTGCTCAGAGAGACAACGCAAATGCAAATGCAACGCAAGGAGATATGTTTCCTTTGCTTGCTTTGCTGTAAATCAGAGGGTGAACAGAGATATATATAGGTTGGCATGCAGGGGAGCACCTGAGAGACGAAAAGAAGCTTGATGACTGGTATAAAGACTTGGAGGGCGGTCCAGGCAAGTTGCTGCCCATGACCATGAGCAAGCAAAGCAAAGCAAAAGAAGCTCATCACATGGCCATGGTGCAATCCTGCATGCTTTGATGAGATATGGGATAGATATGTGTGTGGAGCCAGCAAGAAAGTAGTAGATCAGTTGAACGCAAAGGCACACTGATGAGCACCACTGCACCAGCCACACACAAAGGAGCATATGGCCAGCCAAGAAAGTAGTAGATCAGTTGCTGCTAAACTTCAGTGGCATTGTCGGAAACAAAGGAGCATATGGCCCGGCATCTCCTCGCTCACCTCACATGGCCGGGCCTAACTAATAACTGCCCCCTCCCTCTTCCTCCTATCATGCACAGGTCTCTCATCTCTCTTGGATGTTTATAGTTGGTTTATTTATATCATTAAGAAGCTACTACCAAGCTTTTGTGCCTATATACCATTATCACTAGTTCACTTTCTAATACTTCCTATGTTTTTACATGTCGTATTAGTTTTGTCCCAAATTAAATATTTCCATCTTTGACTATATCAATTTTAAAACTTTATATAAGTTAACCACACACCACATGATTTATATTTCTAGATATTCACTATAAGAAATACTTTCATAATATATAGTTCGCATGTTGTGAACCACGTGGCTTTTTTCTAAATCCGGTCATCTAATACGACATGTAGAAATTAATGGAGGGAGTAGTAACAAATCTTTGAGACGGAGAATCTTGCAAAAGGCAGGTATTGTTTTATATACAACTATTATAGTTATTAGTGTGTAACGATGGTCCATCGCTGAAGTTGTTCGTCTTTCTGTGGTTGCATTGGTGGTTTACATTATTCTTTTGTTAAAAATGCAAGTAGTTGTAAGTTTATTATAAGTCAAATTTCTTTAGCATTGATTGAGCATATAGAAAAGTATACTAGTATCCACAATAACAAAGAATAGTAGTTGATGGTGGATTTAATCGAACTAGTTTCATTTTATAGATAGATGTTCATGTATTTTTGTAAAAAAAAAATCAAAGCTAGAAAATCATGACTTAAGATAAAACTAAAACAATCTATATATATTTTTAGAAGGAGGTGTAATAGGCGAGACTGATTTATTTATATAGTGTACTTAATGAGCTTCCACGATCTAAACGTTGCGCAATGACCAATGAGACCGAAATGCTAACAGCCAGGCATGACTTTTGAGTTGCGACAAGATCACCAACATGTCAATTCGGAGATGAAAATAAATGACTTGTAGTACCACCCGCCAGGAGTCACAACCATCATGATTTCTTTTCTTTCTTTTTCTTTTTTTTTTTTGCTTTTTTCTTTGGACGAATTGAAACGTGTGCTTAGAAAGAAAACCATCTGATTGGTTATAAATGTCATTCATGTGGAAATAAATTAAAAGAATGCTTTGGGTACGGTAGGTTGCTTGCTTCTGAAACACTCCATGGCTTAAATGAGCAACCATGCATTAGCTAGGTAGGAAGAAGGAAACTGAAAGGAAGAAAACGCCTTGCGTTGCATTGATCGTGCAGTTCTCGCACGAAATGGCTTTAACGCCAGCCGCTAGCTGTTGTACACACGTTGCTGTAGATCCTCCATCATCATGAGTTCATGAACAATACTATTACTACATACAGACAAATGATGATGGACCGAGTGCCAATCAAGGTAGCACTGTTCCAGGTGATGCTCAATTGACTGACTGCGCGAAATGATGCATCCATGATCATGACTACGTGAGTCCATGACATGTATAGTTAAGCTATATACCAGATGGTTAATTATTACTCCATCGATTACCAGATGTCTGAATAAATGCTGCACACGCCCACCTTTATTAGCCTTGAGGTAGTACTTCAGTAATCTCTCTGTCTCAAAAATAGAAGTGTAGTTCTCTTTTCTTGAAGGAGTTAAAGAATTTCAATCTTAATCAAATCTATAAAAGACTAACATTTATATATATATATATATATATATATATATATATATATAATAGGTATTGTTAGATTAATGATGCAATATATTTTTACAGTAGTCTACCATGAGTTTTGATACCATTTTCTAAAATTTAGTCAAAAATTTAGAATTGTATTTTTTTACAGTGGGAGTTATATATTGTCACTGTACACGTGTACGGCGTAGAAACGTGTGAATCTCTCGATTTGATCTGCCGTCGTCCATGCTAGTTACTGACAGATGAATAAAATATAAATCCAAGTCCTCTGCTTCTGCATGTGGAGGGTTCTTTCTTGGCAATAGAGTGGAGTACTGTATTCACTCATCCAGATCAGCAGCAGAGGTCACCAACTGCTGTCCGTCCGTTGGTTCAATTGGTCCCCACCCACCACCACCCCCACGCACTGCCACTGCTGATAGATAGCTCAGCCCCTCAGTCCTCTCTTCCTCCAGCTACCTTCAAGCTCATCCGGCCGACCGGTCCACCTCCCATCCGTGCCAGCTCCCAACCAAGCACAGCCAGCAAGCAGATCAGAGGAATGGCGGCGACGCGGCTGGCGCTGGCCCTCCTGCTGGCCGCCGTGGTGGCGGCGTCGCAGCTGCCGGCGGCGGCGGTGGCGGCCAACTACACGGTGGGCGACGAGAAGGGGTGGAACCCCGACGTGGACTACACGGCCTGGGTGAAGAAGCACAAGCCCTTCTACAAGGGAGACTGGCTCAGTAAGCATGCATCTTTTGCTGTTGTTCTTCCTCTTCTTGTCCATGCACCAGCACGGCATTGGCATGGATCCATGGTGATGATATCTGCCATTGTTGGGTCCTTGCAGTCTTCCAGTACCAGAACGGTCGGTCGGACGTGGTGCAGGTGGACGAGGTCGGGTACGACAACTGCGACAAGGCCAGCGCGCTGAGCAGCTACAGCAAGGGCAGCACCTACGCCTTCCAGCTCAAGGAGGCCAAGGACTACTACTTCATCTGCAGCTATGGCTACTGCTACCACGGCATGAAGGTCCACGTCACAGCAAAGTCCTCCTCCTCGTCCTCGTCCTCGTCCTCGTCCTCCGGCTCCTCTTCCGGTGATGATTCCTCCTCCTCTGACACCTCCTCCTCCGATGACTCGCCCTCGCCGCCCGCCAAGAAGTCCAAGGCCAAGTCCTCCAGCGCCGCCTCGCTACCGCCGTCGCTCCTCGCCGCCACGCCCATTGCCGCCGCCGGCGTGGCTCTGCTCCTCAACAGGATGCTCTGATCTGATCTGAGGAGTAGTCATGTGGCTCCATCAGTCGGTCGGTTCAGGCTCCAGATCTTCTGTGCTGATGAGTTGTGGTGCTGCACCTACACTACAGTTTCTTCTTCTTTACTTAGTTTTTTTTTTAATTTTTTCATTGAGATCGATGATCTCTACTACTAGTAGTTTTTTTTCCTGCTTCTTGAGTTGATTGCGTGATTATTGGTTGGTTCTTGCTTCCATTTTTCTTTATCTCCCTCTCTCCTTTTCCTAGCTACTGTAGTCCAGTCCATTGTTGATGCAGTTTCCAGACAAGATTAGTATAATGTCAAGTGTGAATGAAGAGCTCTATTTATTTATTATCTACTAGTAGACCATAAATTGTACTGCTACACACTGTTCTTATTTATTTATTTGTTGAGTAAAAACTACTCTATTCTCTCCGCTTTTTTACGGTTTTGTTGTTTCATTTTATTATATTAACCTCATGATAAGGGCATTGATGAGCTCAGATGCATCCATGGACAGTCCAGCAGCCACATGTGGCAGGGCAGGGCAGCCATGTGCCATGTGCCTCCAGGATTTTTTTCTTCTTCTTATACCTGCTGCTGCTTTGTTTACAGTTGAGCAGCAGCGCGCGCTTCTTTGCCTCACTCCTACTCCACTGACTCTTTGCTTTGCTGCCTCGTCAGCACACCACGTGCTGATGTGCACCGACACCCACCACACACAGTTCCAGGCTTCCAGCACCATCTTGTCTTTTTTTTTTCCTCGATCGTACCTTAGGCATGTTTTTCGTTAGGAGGGAGCAGAGTTTAAAAAGATACAAAGACTCGCAAGGAATTCAGGGATTACCACCGTCCAAAAACAACAAAGAACAGTAAGAAAAAACGGAGGGGGGGGGGATGACCCCCCAGCCACAACACCCACACAGACTAAGCCTATGATAAGAAAACAACACAGAAGTAGCCTGCAGGTTGACGAAGACGCGGTGGCAAAGCATCCACCCAGAGAAGACCAGACGAGCTTTGGCAAAGTATCCGCTAGAGAAAGAGCCAGAGCATCCTCAACGGCAAAGTATCCGCCAAGGAAGCCGGCGCGACCACAGCGACAAAGTATCCGCTAGAGAAGAGACCACGGTGGCCAAGTATCCGCCGAAGACGAGATGAACACCAGCGGCAAAGCATCCGCCGGAGAAGCGACAAGCGGGGTGGCAAAGCATCCGCCGAAGAAGCAACCACCCTGTAGGACAAACTCAAGTGTTGAAGGAAATGAAGCGCGCACAGGCACACCAAAAATCTCCACAGCCAGACGGATGACGCAGCCATACCACAAACAACGACGGCAGCCACATGCAGCACCAAGGAAGATGAAAGGCAGCCCCCACGCGTGCCGTGGCTAGGGAACTTCAAAGGCAACGCCTCCCAGAAGGGTCACGACGCATATAGCGCCGCTGCTGCCTATCCAACAAGGACTAGGTTTTCACCCAGAAGCTCCACGACATGAGGATAGAAAGGTGCACTGACAGATGCCTCCATGGAGGTTAACGGCGCCCAATGGCGTCACCATCGCCGGCCTAACGGCAAGGCTTTCGCCTAGCACCCAACCACCTAGACACAGGCAACAGCTGACAGGGACTGCACAATGACCCGAGGCCGCTCGACGGCAGCGCTACTAATCACACCAGAGCAGCAACCGAGCAAGGGGAGGCAGCGGCTAGCAGCCAGCCGCCCGTAGAGCCCGCCCAGGCCGCTCCGCACAACTTGCAGCCGCACCCAGCCAACCGACGCCTCACTCGGCCGGCCATGACCGCCGCAGCAGACACCACGGACGGACCGTAGGCCCGCTGCCGGCCGGCCGTAGACGAGACTGTCTTGGCCAGCCCTCGGCCTCCACCGTCGCCGTGAGCTAGGAGCCTAGCCCGGCCGGCCGCCGTCGCCCAGGCCATAGCCAAGCGTGCACGAGGGGAGGGGCGGGGAAGTCGCGCGGCGGAGTGGCCGCCGTCGAAGCCGTAGGCGCGGGCTGTAGCTCCGCCGTCTCATCTTCGTCTTGGGCAGGGTATGGCGCGGGAGGAGTCAGATCCGGCGCCTTGACAAGTAGATTTGGTGGTGACGTGACCGGATCTGGCCTCAGGTGGCCGGCAACGACCTCCGCCGGCGTTGGAGAAGACAACCGGTTGAAGCTGTAGGGGTGGAGAGAGAAGCGAGGAAAGGAGAGGAGGGTTGCGGACGGGTCACCCACTTGAGCGCCGCCGCCGCTCGCCGGAGAGCGGCAGCGGCGGCGGCAGGGAGTAGTCGGAGGTGGGGTTTGGGAGCGTGGCCGCGTCGCCCCTCACGGGAGACGACGTGGGTCCCGTGGGAGCTTCTTCAACGATTCACTTCATTTTTACACCGTCATTCATTCCAACAAATTTGAAGTCATTTTTACCTCCCCTGGCTATTTTAGATTGAGCGTCTGATTGTGATTGGCACAGCTTCTTTTGGTTCTGCCTCCTACTATGTCTATACTAGTAATTGTAGTAGTGCTATTCACAAAGAGTTGTTCTTCCCTCTATTCTCACGAAATAAATTAGGAGGCCGAAAAACTTATGTTTTGTGGTTTCTCTAATGTAGCACGGAATCCAGAGAGAATCCTGCCAAACAATGATTCATAGACATCCATATAATGTGATTTGTTCTTTTTTTGCACAGGTTGGTTTCAGGTTGTAATTTTGTAGAGATGACACTATAACTTACTTTATTCCCTATATATAGTTCCATATAATCATTCTTCCCTTGGAGAAGGCTCAAGTTATGCTTTAGACATAACTTCTAAACATTGTATTCCTAAGACAGAGGTACGACACGCATAATGTGTTTTTCTTGAATTCTTTTATTCATTACTAATAGTAACTCGTAGTCAAAGCTATGTTTTAAGACCTTATTGATGTCTTCAACGACAAGAATTATGGAGCCAGCAGAAAGAGTATATGACAAAAAATAACTCCAACACAGTCACTTGAGCCACCTCAATCCCCTCAAGCAATACAGATTACATTCATGTACTAGGTGCTTTCAAACAAGTTGAGCCCACATGTCACACTCACAGCCAACAACGTTTCTGATTTTGGCAAGGTCGCGAACCAAACATCTCAACATCTCATTTTGGCCATTTCCAGAATCTGGGCGTGGCATGACAGGGACACTAACTATACAGGCACTTCAATCACGATTTTTTTTTTTTTGATCACGCAAAAGATTTACGTATCTTTATATTAAAGTAGAGAAAAAAATTTAATATAACACGTTTTAGCGACACCTAAGGGGTTAGGATAGTTGTACATAGACGCTTAGACCGTCCCTTGTGTATATAGAGAAAGAAAGGGCATTTTTTTTTCAAGCACGATTTTAGGAGAAGGAAATAGAGGAAGGGCAGATATCATTAGTCGCTTCAGTTTTACGAGTGTAAGTGAACTATGTGAACTGTTCGGGTGTATAATACATACTAAGTTCAATTTTTGTTAAGAAGACTAAGTAAGCAGTTGTATTAAAAAAATATTGTGGCAACTACAACTACCTACCAATATCATGGATTTGTTTATTGGGTCACCAACCTGCTAGGTGGTGGTAGCCTTAGATATTGATGTGGACGTATGTTTTGTTAGGCTGTCAATGTGTCTGTTGGTTATGTTTAGGATTTGGAACGCAGAAATTTGATTACATGGCGTGCCAACTGCCAAAGCTAAGTTAGCTTTCCTAACTACTAGTTTGTCCTATAGAAAAAGAAACGTTCGTAAATAAATAAAAAGAATGACCTGTACTCTTTTTTTTTTTGAAAAGTAACGAGCTGTAGTTCATGTTAGTGACTGTATAAGCAGAAAAAGGAGTGATGCGATGTCTTCAGTTTCACTTTCACCTGCCGACAAAACAAGATGGGCCTGTTCCTTTTGCGGCCCGCTAAGAGGCCCATGAAAACTATTTACCAGCCAGTTGCGGGCGTAGCCAACGAGCTCGAACGCTTCTTAACACAGGAACGGATACCTAATCCAATCCAAACTAAACATGCCTACATCATAAAGGGCACCTTTTGTTTGTTTGGCTGTAAAAAAGAGATGTTTTCTTGCGCCTAGATAGAGTATCACAATGCACAACTTCAGCAGACGACTCTTATATAACATGCTAATGTGCAACATACTTCTCACGACACAAAGCAAAATTACTGTCATCAAGAACAAAACCCAATTATCACAACAGATCCATACAGAAGCTCCGCTATAGTTTGTTGTTCCTCGTTCACAGCTGATGACCTAATTAAGAGTCACTGAATTGTAACAGGATGAGAAGAAGTTTAGACAATCTCCTACTATGCTTACTCTTAACTGAGACGCGTCAACCAGCCACACGGCAGATTGGCGGAGTCTACAGAGACGAGCTGGACTTGCAAGAGCAGTCCCACCTCTTACCATTTGCATCTACTCGCTGTCGGTGTCGGCAGGGGCCTGGGTGTCGGTGATGGTAAAGGATTCCACCTTGGACAAATCCGGCACCCAGCAGGACAGTTCTGTTGTTCCTGTCACGAACATCAAGGATCCTGGTGACCACCTTACCCGCGGCGGTTTGGTATCTGTGCTTTGCCAGCATGCAACCTGATGTCCAAGAATGACCGTACATCAGTCATCAAACAGATATATAACATATAGGTAGTTTCAATACCAACATGACATGTTCTTCTGCACCTTTCCGCTCTCAACATTCCAAGCGTAAACACTACCATCACCAGAGCCTGCAAGAGAAGACGATTATGCATTGCTATGTAGACCAAAAAGATGGCAATGGCTGCAAAGGGCAGGTGATAAGGAATGGTTTCTAACCAGATATGATATGGTTTCCCTCAGGACAGAACGATGCCTCCAGTGTTGAATTGGTTAATATTGGCTTTGCATGAAATGTTGCAATCTGAAAGAAAGAAAAAAAAAAACATAAGAACCACATTTTACTAGAACTAGTATGCATGATATAAACTAGTAGGTTGCATGCTTACCC